AAAAAAAAAAAAAAAAAAAAAAAAAAAAAAAAAAAAAAAAAAAAAAGGAAGGTCCTATGCTAATTGGGAAGTCAACAGATTACTCTATGCCAATGACTCACATTTTCTTTCTATCTCACTCTTGGCTTGATTTAAATTCAGCTAGAGATGAGAGACAGAAACAAGTATGTTAAATGATCATATACAGTATTAATGACTCCTAGAAACAATTAATTTTCTACATTCTCTTGCATAATAATATTTCGATTTTATATAAAGATACAGGGGTCAATGGTTTAACCGAAAGAGATTGAGTTCTAATTGTAAAACTTGAGGCACTATGACACAGAAGGAAAATGTGCTTGGAACCCAAAGCCTTCCTGGCACTAATCACAAAAGTATACAGATAAATCCCTATTTCAACACTGTTAAGATCTGTACACTCTACAAACCCGTCTTATAGAATTATATCATATATGTGAGCGAACTGTGGCTTATGCACAAAGAGGTTAAGTGAATTGCTCAGACCTCTTGAATTTTACTCCAGTGCTATTTTTCCACAACATAATGGCTGCAAATTTGGTTCATTAGTCTCATTATAAGTTGACAAAAATTCTGGGAATTTTTACAGAACAAACTAGCAGAAACTGGTGCCAGTCAGAATATTCTAGTTAGTAATAAAGACAGTGAACCAACAGGTATTTATAAAAAGAACTAGGCAAAAAATAATAATAATAATAATGCTAACTGGAGTTTTAAGGTTAAGTGTCCTAGATGTGATAGAATAAAGATTTTCTTTGTTAATCTTTAGAGTAGGGCTATAGAGATGCTACATGAATATGTTACTGTTCTACACTCTGACAAGTGTATAGTATTCCATTCATATTAAAATATTGTTTTTTAAGAAAGATCCAATTTTGGTTTTTTCCAGAAAATTGATTTGAAATAGTTTAACAGATTTAATCTTGGGAAAAGCAAATGAAATAACTGGGACTCTCACAAATTTCATCTGGCAGGAGAGCTCCTAAACATAGGAACTCTGGCCTTTCCTCATGCTTTCTTTAAACCCAAATGGTGATCTTCCAGGGATAGTGACATCTACAGGATGCACCAAAAAAAGCATGCATGAAAAATTATTACTATTGCTATCTGCCAAACAGAGGCATCAGAGGGGGCATAGGAAATTAGATCCATAATTATAATTAGAGTAAATGATAGAGCTATGTTAATTTTGCTGCCTGTCATTCTTCATGGAACATGAATAGTGACTGGATAAAGGAGAGAAATAACACCATTCACAAGTTTACTATATGCCGAGCACTTTACACATAGTAACTCATTCATTTTAGCACACAATGTATATCATTATCCACCATATAAAGAAAAAGAGTAAATAATTTGCCAAAAGTGGTACAGATACGAAATGAGTGTTAGATTTGAAATTTGAAACTGCGTTTGTCTGGCTTCCAGCCTATTTCCTTTTAGCTATAGCATATGTTCTCCACTACTGACTTGAATGTAATTATTGGCAGTTTTATATATATGAGTAATACATGTAAGTTTACAATATCACACTATGAGTTGTGTGTGTATATGTGTGTGTACACAGATAGACGCAGACTGTTTTCTCTATTGATAACACTGCCTTTTCCTCTTAGTTCTTGGATTTCCACCAGTTAGTCTTATTTTACACGTAGCAAGAAAGAGTTTTGAAACTTAACCCTTTGATTAGACCCTAATTTAAGAAATGTGTCTGAACTCGCTTACCCTGTGATATAATTGATAAAAGAAAACCAGAAAACAGTGATGTATTCATGGAAGGTGATGTTTTGGCAGAATTTGAGAAGAGTTAAACACTGAAAGACAAAACACAATCCAAAGTTATTTTTGTAATGTCACATCATTAATTTTGAAGTGACTTTCCAAATTGCTAACCACAGCTGCATTCAATTTTTAGTAAAAGGACATATTTTAAGTTCAAACATGAGTAATATTGAATAGTCCATACTTCTTCTCCATTTTGTTCATGTATATAACAAAGAGTTGACTACAGACAAATATGTTGAAAGAAACACATACAATGTACCAGTAACAGTTACTATGTACACAGATACAAATGCAGAAAAAACACCTAACAGATATAATTCAATAATGATTGAAAAAATAATGATGATAGCCTTTACATATTCCTAAAATGTGTCATTTTGTGTGGATTTTCAAGAGCTCGTGAGTAATAAAATACATATCCTCCAATTTTATCTAAAGTCAAATCATATTGCAATAAAGTTTAAGTTGTATAAATGCCTAGATATTTCAAGGAATGATATACTGCATATAGAAAAACCAAATGCATTCAAAAGTTAATCCAATATTAAAGGACCACCATTTCCTGCAGAGTGAAAACATAGAAAGATTTGCAAAAAGGCAAAGTAAATAAAATGACCACTAGATCTATTGATAATATTGTTAAGACAATATGAAATACTTTAATGATTAGTTGTATAAGTATGGTTTCTTGGCCATGTAGTTAAAAGGAGAAAAAGACGGTCAATAAACATAATCATCATGCATGCTCTTTAAGCTAATGTTTAAGAATTAGAAAGAAATCTTAACCTTAATGGGAACCATTATAATTGCAATAGGCATCTAGCTAATCCTGCCTATGTCTAGCCAAATTCAGCATTAGTATTAAGAATTGAAGTCTGGCCCAATAGTCTATGGCCTTAATAGCACTAAATCACTCTATTTCAAATTACATTTTAGCTTTATGCCCCATTAATTGAACACTTACATCAAATTTTAGCATTAGACTTAAGTTCATTGTAGAGTCATATGCACAGTTTCACTGGCACTGCAAGCAGTTCTGTATTTTGTTTCTTTCCTACAATAAATTCTTATTGCATAAAAAGGAAATGTTTCCCAATTAAAATTCAACTGAGAGGGAGCAAAGGAAAAGAGTTTAGGCCACAAAGAACCTTCATGGTATTAGGAAAAGGTGACAACACTTTAGACGTGGAAATAAAAAAAACTTGGGAAAGGAGAGGATATTCAGCAGGACATTCTCAAGAGGGATTAGATGAGGTTTCAGATTCTGTGTACACTTTCAAAGTTGGTATCCCTACCCCAAAATGTAGAAAATGTCTTCCTAATTTTAATTCAAAATTATGTGTACTGGAAACATGTTTACCAATTTATTGCAAGTGTTCAGCATGCATAATGGCAATGGATCAGATTCTCTACACTTTATTTAACAAAACACGGGGCGAGTGATTTGGATTTAAATCACTGACTCACTCTGTATTTTGATTAAAGGTCTATAATAAATGCATTTTAAAAATTAAATCATTTTAAATTGCTTTTGGCACCTAAACAGATTTGGCTGCCACACTACTATTGTCAATGAAGTCACTTGACTTTTGCTTGTTGCTTTGGTTTTTGTTTTTATTCATTTAATACAACTGAAATTATGCATCCCTAGCAAAGTCCTTTTGAAAAGTCCTATCAAGTTTGGGTAGCTATTTCATGAAAATGCATTATTATAAGATTACACAGTTAGTGATATTAGTAGATCAACATACATTTCTTTTTTTCCTATTACTGTCCAGAGGAATAACCCTGGTTTAGGAGACAGGCGAAATGAGTATATTCAGTAATGTTAGTTTATATAAAAATATCTCAAGAAGCTAGGTCATTATCATTAGTCATAATAAGAATGTCTCCTGGAATGTAAGTCAAAAGAAAGTTTATGCGGCAGAATTATGTAAGGAAACTTACAATAGTGCCTGCCCACAAACCATGCAATTTGGAAACAGCCAAGAAACAAAACCATAGAGAAGGAGGGATAAATACATGTATTAGGGGTTATTATGCAACTACAAAGATTCAATATGACCCTGGCAATATAGCAAAAAATAGTTATGAAAAAGAAGCTATTTCTTATGCTCAGTAGCTAATTTTCAAACATATGTACCTGTATTTGAAACTTTGAGTATTTCACACATTTTTCTGTATCTGAAAAAAAAATGGATCCAGACTGATATTGTATATAAATATAGCTGAAAACAGTTAATATAAAGGTAGCCAAAAGCAAAATTCAATAAGAATTCTCAAAAAGGATATTATTCTTGTTGCTGATAAACTAATTCCGATGTACAGTTTGTTCATATAGGAGAAGAATAATTTACTGTTCAATTTTCCTAGATAGGATGACATATCTATAGTAATATTATCTTATAAAGTTTTTAATTAAATAAAAAGCTAGATTAAAGCATCTAGATCAAACTGTAGGTATAATTAGAAACTTTAGAAATAATACATTACTTCATTTTGACAATATATATTTCAATATCTAACAATTAAATCTGCTTTTTACAAAAATGTATGACAAATACATCATGTACTTCCATTTTTAAACTTTCAAGGGCATTCGTCTATTAAAATAACACATATCTTTAATAGCCTATCTTAGAAATTAAGAAATACATACCCTTCAGGATAAATATATTGAATATAAGATGACATAAGAAAAGTACATAAAATGTTCTTATTCTTTTATTATTACTATGAACTAGAAAATACTTAAACATATTAATATGATTTGATGGAAAATAAATGTTGACAGTTGTGGTAGTCTTAACGTTCTTATGGTTCCAGTCCATAATTCACATGTTATGACACACTGAATATATAATACAAATATATCTTTCCATTTGTGGGCATTTGACTGAGACTACACATATTATACATGTTTAAAGGCAACAATATGAAAATTAGTCTAGAGACAGCTATAAACTATATGAAATAGACTAGTGAACATAGAACCAAAATAATTATAGTTTAAATGTTGCGCATGACCATCATATTGTCTAATTTATGTTGAGGATAGAATATTTATAATTATCAAACCTATTTTAACAAGGATACATAATATCAAATTTCAAAATGCATGTTCTTTTTTTCTTTTTTAACTTACTGCTTTGTAAGTTCTCTTTTGTCCAGCATGTTTTCGAATTTGTTCTCCATTTGGCCCCGTTTCCACATGCATCGAATAAATAATGTCAAAGAAATCTTCAACCACAGCTACCCGTCGTAAAGACAGCTTCTCATCTACCCCTACGCCATCCTGGAAACAAAACAACAACAAAATCCCACAAGATTAATAAACTAATTTGCAATTAATACATAAAGTTGATTAAAACAAAATGTTTTGATAACCTCAACCAAATTGTCTAGATAGGAAACTTCAAAAATTAATGAATGAATATTTTACTATTTTATGCATTACTTACATACAGAACTTGAAGAAACATAAGAGAAGACATTTGTCATAGTTAATATTGAATAAATCATGCTTACCCATAAATTCCATCTTTTAAGTTTTTATAATGACTTATTTGTAGCTATCAGTACAACTTTCTTAAATTATTTTAAAATAAATTTTAAGGCCCAGTAAATTTTTATTGTGATAATTTAATTCTAGATATTTATTAATTCATCCAAACAATATTGAGTTGCTGGGCCCAAGAAGTTGTAATTTGAGAAATGAAAGAAATAACACAGTTATCCCAGGTTATTGTATATCCTAGGAAAGAAAACACATTTATTATGCTATCAGTATTGGTCTAAAGAACAACAACTGGTAAAGGTTAAAAATATGAGCTCTAGAAATTATCTACATGAAATTTAGATCTTCTACCTGAAAGCAGCATATTTTGTGCAAATCACTTAAACTTCTCTAAATTTCAGTTTTTCTCTCCTGTAAAATACAGAGCCCACCTCACAGAATTGTAAGAATTAAATGAAATGATGCATTTAAAGGATGGAATCCACTGTTAGTCATATAATGAACACACAGCAAATGGTAGCTCTTGTCATTTTGAGGGCCATGATAACAAATATGCAAAGTACTGTAGGAATTCAGAGAAAATATCACCTACTGTTGAAATAGATTCCAGAAAAAAATATAATTTGACATAGGCTGGAGTGGAGCCAGGCAAAAGCCATTTTGCTGGGAAGTACAGCAAAGGACAAAGAGTTTTCATGGATAATAGGAGTAAGAAATAAGTTTGGAATGAGATATTAAAGTAAATCTTACATGGCTGCAACATGAAAGGGCTTCCTGCTTGCAAACACACACAAACATACACACACATACACCCACACTTCTTATTTGGACTCTGTAACATAATTTGAAGTAACATAACATAGCCATTAACACCAGTATACAGCACAAGAAGGTGATTAATCTGAGCAAAATCATTGTGCAATGAAATAGCAAGAGTTTATTTGAACAGTAACCCCAGCAGATTGAGCTCACTGCAAAACAAAGAGTAAGTCCCTTGGTGCTTTTTGTTAGTTTTGTTTTTTATTTATTTTTCTGACATACAGTAGTCCTTGTAAGTAGTGGTGGCTAAAGCAACATATTCAAACAACTATATATAGGAAATCACGTTAGGCCAAACAGCTAAAAACATAATTTCATATGCCTCTTCCTGACCTATCCCCTAAATCCTGAGAGAATAACCCACCTTTCCTATGCTGAAAACTCAAATTCTAATTCTATCCACTAGTACAATTACCCAGCAACCAGAAAAAGATTAAACTAAAATCAAGTAGAAGGGAGAGAATATGTAAAAAATGAGGAGAAACAAATGACAGTAGGAAACAATGGACAAAATCAGCAAAACCAGAAGCAGTACTTGAAAACAACTTTTTAAATGACAAAGTTTAAGCTCTACTTACATAAAATATAATAAGAGCAAAGAGTCAAATTACTAAAATTAGGAATAAAAGAAAAATCACTAGTGACCTTACAAAAATAAAAATTTTAAAAAATCACAAAAAAACCATAAACAAGTGATGTCAACAAATTAGAATTAATAATATAAAATTAACAATTCCTAAAAAGACTTAAATTACTGATATTGGCTGACAAAAATAAAAATATTTTTATAGGCCTATCACAAGTAAGAAGACAAAATTAGTAATTAAAACAGCTTTCATGCACAGAAAAAGCCCAGGTCCAGATGGCTTCACTAGACCAAACATTCAAAGAATCAATGGAACTCATCATAAACTCTTTTAAAGCAATAAGTGAGAAAACACTTCCCAAATTATCCAATGAGGCCAGCATTATCTTGATACCAAAACCAAATATATCACAGATATATAGAATAATATATTTTATGAATATAAATACAAAAAAACCTCAATAAAATACTAGCAAACCAAACCCAACCACATTTACAAATTTATCATATACCACAATCAAGTAGAATTATTCCAGGAATGGAAGATTAGTTTAACACAATGAAATGAATTAATTTAACATATCATATTAATACAATAAAAGACAAAAATATATGATTATCTCAGTAGATGCAGGAAAAAATCATTTGACAAAAACCAATGTACTTTCTTGATAAAAATTCTAAGTAAATTAGGAATAGAAAGGAATTTCCTCAACTTCATAAAGGACATCTACAAAAACCTCCTGTAACTAACATCTTATTTAACTGTGAGAGACTGAATGCTTTCCTCCTAAAATAGAAGCCAAACAAGAATGTCTGCTCTAGCCTCATCTATTTAACATCATACTGGTGAATCTAGCCAGGGAAATTAATCAGGGAAAAGAAAGAAAACACACCCAAATTGGAAAGAAACAAGTAAAACTATCTTTATAGATGCTTTGTGTGTCACTTGCAAATGATATAATCACATATATAGAAAATTCTAAGGAATCCACTAAAAAACTTTAGGACTAATAAATGACTTCAAGTCTGTATTAAAATTCAATTATATTTTTTAATTAGCAATAAACAATCTGAAAATGAAGCAGGAAAAATAATTTCTTTTACAAGGGTTTCAAAACACTGATATATTTAGGAATAAATTTAGATATAAAGTTTTAAAAAGTATAAGAGCTATACACTGAAAATTATAAAACATTGCTGAAAAAAATTAAAATGAACTAAATAAACTGAAATACACCTTATTATAGACCATAAGACAATATTGTCAAGGTGGCAATAATTCAGACATTATTTTGCAGGATCAATGCAATCACTACCAAAATTCCTAATAGCTTTTCATGAAAATTGACAATTTGGCCTTAAAATGTACATGTAAATTCAAGAAAACAAGATTAGCCAAAATAGTCTTTAAAAAGTTCACACACTTCTTAATTTCAAAGCTTACTACACTAAAGTCTTTATTAGATAGTGTGGTATCGGCATATGAATTGATATATGGATCAGTGGAATAAAACTGAGATTTCAGAAATAAAGCCTTACATTTATTCAGTTCATCTTAAAAGACATGCCAAAACAATGCAGTAGGAAAAGAATTTAACAAATAATGCCTGGACAACTATATACCCACATGCAAAGGAATAGTCAGGTCCCTACCTCAACCCATAATACAAATTAAATCAGAATAAATGACCAATGTAAATGTAAAAGCCAAAACTCAAAATTTGTACAAGGTTACTTAAAGCAAATGTTTGTGACCTTGGGTAAGGCAAAGTCCTCATAGTTATAGCCACAAAAATTAAAAGCAATACAAGAAAAAAATATAAATTGAACAACACAAAAACTTAAACTGTTTATGATGCAAATAATACCATCAAAAAGTGAAATGACATCTCATACAAATGGGAGAAAATATTTGAAAATCATACATCTAATAAAGGACTTACATCCATAACATATGAAACAAAACTCAATACCAGAAAGTCAAATAACCCAATTTAAAAACTGCCAAAATATTTGAACAGTCATTTCTCCAAAGAAGATGTTCAAATGACAAACAAGCACAAGAAAAGATGTTCAATATAATTCATGATTAGAGAAATGCAAATCAAAATCACACTGAAACACTACTTCACATGCACTAGTATTGCTATATTCAAAAATAACAAGTATTGGCAAGGATCTGGAAAAATTGAATCCTCATACATTGCTGGTGAGAATGCAAAATAATGCAGTTGCTTTGAAAACAGATTGGCAGTAACAAAAAGTTAAACATAGGCTTACCAGATGACTTGGTAAGCCAACATCATGTATATATGACATATATATATATATGACATATATATATATATACACACACACACACACACACACTCAAGAGGAATGATAACATAAGTTCACACAAAATATACTGAACATCAATATTAATAGCAGCATATTGGTAATATCTAAAAAGTCAGAACTCAAATGTCAGTGAACTGAAAAATGAATAAGCAAAATGTGGCATAAACATACAAAGAAATATCTTTATACCATAAAAAGAGATGAAGTATTGATTCATCCATGGATAAACCTTGAAGACATTAAGTTCCATGAAAGACATAAAAAACACATATTGTATGATTCAATTTATAAATGTAGAAAATAGGTAAATTTATATAGATAGAAATGGGACCAAGTGCAGTGGCTCATGCCTGTAATCACAGTGCTTTGGGAGGCTGTGGAAGGCGGATCTCTTGAGCCCAAGAATTTGAGACATAGTAAGACCCTCATTCCTTCAAAAATATAGATAAATTAGTTGGGCATGGTGACATATGCCTGTAGTTCCAGTTACTCAGGAGGCTGAGGTTGTAGGATCATTTGAGCCCAGGAGGTTGAGGCTACAGTGAGTCGTGATTGTGCCCGTGCATTTCGGCCTTGGCAACAGAGTGAGAAACTATCTCAAAAAAATAAAAATAAAAATAATGAAAGTAGCTTATTGCTTGTTTAGGACTGGGGAGGAGGAAAAAATAAGGACTGGCTGTTAATAGCTACAAAGTATCTTTTAGGAGGGACAAAATGTTCTACAATTAGATGATGGTGGTTGTACAACCCTCTGAACATACTACAAATATTGAATTATACACTTTATATGATTAATTTTACAATATGTGAGTTAAATCTCAATAAAGCTGTTAAAATATATAGTAGCTAATGATATCGGATTTTGAGTTCAAGAATGCAAAAAATAATAATAAAACCCAAAAGAAAAGAAACCAAGCAAAGGAGCTCACGCAATCCAAACTCAAACAATCCACAATGTAGAGTGGAATAAAAGTGAAAATATAGGTGACTCAACCAACACTGTAGTGGTGACAATGAGAGTGTGCTGGTA